TAAAACGGAACAGTAGAGAAAATCCGATCAGAATGACAAAATAAACTAAGCATCCACTGGAAGGAATCCCAATATCTGCAGACGGATCCGTTTCTATATATATATATATATATATACATATATATATATTGTTCATTGGTTAAGGGCTTTTGAGAAGGGCTTTTGAAGAGGCGTTTATTTGAGAAGGGGAGCTTTTTTTGTGTGTGTAAAATATATAGGCTATGTATATACTCATATACACGCCCTTTAAGTTCACTGTAAATGTGGAGCTACATAATGGTTAAAATGTGTTATTTTGTGATCATAAAAAGGGTATTGATCCCAACCAGGTAAAAAAAAATGAAATTCTACTGGAGAACATTAATAGAATGTGTTGAGAATGATGTTGCTTCTGTTAGTTTTGTTTACAGTCCTTTATATTATATATATATATATATATATATATATATTATAATGTTTGTCCCTGTTCTGTACTCCTGTATAGCTACGCCTCTGTATACCTTTTCTATTTCCATAACGTAACAATACATGATAATTTTATATATTGTATAAAACATTTATGAGAATGCAATGCATTAATAATAGTTATTATTATCATTATAGCATTATACCGTAACGCAAGAAACTGAAAAAATGGACATTATAAGCAATGACCATCACATTATGCAAATTATTATTGTTATCACCTATTTAAATTGAGATAAAACACATGTTGTAGGAACATTAGTAAATCAAATTAAGGCATATATGCCTATATCTAGGCAGTGCTGTACTCATAATTTTAAACGAAGTTGTGATGAAGACAACATGAATTTAACGTATCGATTATTGGAAACAATATCTCTTTTGAGGTGGTTTCGCTGACATTAAATAATAATATTGCTGTTGTATTGTGTTTAGTACTATACATGAACTGCAGTTAGATGTTGGATCTGCACGAACCCAATAATCAGCTTTCTGGAGACTTACGGATCAATACGGCGCGTGGGCTCCAAATGCTGAAATTGTGTAACTTGAGAAAATAATAATTTTGAAGTTGAAGAACACTGTCTGATAAGTAAACGTCAAACGGAATTGCTGGGAGCTGTATGGTATTTGTTGCAGTTATGTGGCAAAATTATTATGCAAGTTGGTCTTAATTAATCAATGAGGTCTACCAACAATATTAAAATTATACCCCGACCCGTTTTTGTCCATAATGTAATCTCATAATATTATTGTTTGGGTCTTGTCTTAAATGATTTATTTGGTGTATCTATTACAGTAGGTCGCAACTAGTTTCTAGCTTAACCATAGCTCCACAATGTGTAAGCGTAAAAGTCTTTTATATGAGAATAAGTAGGCCTATCTAGGGGTAAGATATGCGATTACACCAGAAACACTTTTATTTCATACAACAAATGTTGCTATTAGTTAACGAGAACAATATTTCATCATTAATCTATTTGGTTATACTGTGTTTACGGTGCTACGCAGCAAAACCTAATTTGAATAAGCCTAAGAACTGGAGGTCGCTGGAACAGAATGTTGCTACTCGGAGTTTCACGCTATTGCGATCGTCAGGCAACTGATGAAAGGTGAACGTTGTGGGGTGATGTGACTTGCTTGTGCGGACGTAGTATGAAGTTAGGTTATTGCGGACGTCGGAGTTGCTTTTCGGAGGTAGTGCTTGTTTTCGTGGCGGCATTTCGATACAAGTTCTGACCTTCTGTTTAGGAGTCCCGTCCTTCCCGCGTTGATGATGGCAAGCTTCTCTGATATACATATGTCTCTTATACACATCTAGATGTGTATAAGAGACAGGATATACATAGGTCGCATCGTTTCGTCTTGTTGTTGAATGCCTGGGCTTTGGTGATGATAGACCAAGAGATGGTGAATGGTTGATTTTTCTTTTTGAGTTCCCATATGTATCTGGAGAGTTCTGTGCTGTATATAGGCCTATCATGTTATATATATATATTACATGTTATATATATATATATGTATATATATATATAATGTATAAGAACGAACATACTGTATATATAAATATGATAAAACGTAAATTTGTTCACTATACAGTCCTAATTTATGGCATTTACTACAAAGACGTCTGTTCATATAGTCTTCTTTTGACAACGCACTTAAGTATGCACACGTTCAAACAGCTTAGTTTGTTCAGTATTTAAGTAAGAATACTTTCGTCGTGAGGAGTTTTTAAGGGAATCGATGAACAGCACTTGATTTGCTTATCATTAAAACACTATATATTCAAACACGTTGAAGTTTAAAAAAACATAACGAGGCAAGCATAATTGAAGTAAACGATGCCCGAGAAAAAATTAATTCCCGTCTTGCCAGAGACTACCGGTATATAAGATATGATTCGAAACTAAAATGTTCCTTATCAGTTGAAAAAGATCATGGAATCCTCGTAGTACACATTCAATCATACTTTAACTTTTTATTAAACAATAATAATTGTAATAATAATAATTGCAATAATAATAATAATTTTAATAATGATAATAACAATAAAAATAACAATAATAGCATCAATAATAATAATAATAATAGTAATAATAATAATAATAATAATAATAATAATAATAATAATAATAATAATAATAGTAGTAGACTAGACACCAAATAAACCAAAATGAACCAAGCCAAAACAAATAAATAAAATAAAAATAAGATTGAGCTTCTGTATTCCAATTACTTATACTGAGTAAGATTCTTTAAACAAATCCAATTTCTATATCGTAGATGCGCTGGTGAAGGTCTTGCGAAAATGGTCATAGCATTATTGATAGAATCCCTTTTATAAGTCACATATTAACTCTCCACTTGACTACATTTGTATGTTTACTTAATGCCCTGTAATGGTTCTGTAGCGTTTACACTAAGAAAATTATTTCAGAATAAACGGCTGGCATATTGCTCGTCGGTGTTCCTAATTAACGATCGCACCATAGATTTTAACACCTGTCTGTCACCCTCTGAAAAAGCCATGGTTGTTTGGATGTGTACAATTGTCACGACAACGGTGATAAACGTGTCTTGAAGATGGTGTATTGGTATAAAGATTCATATAGTCGATCATAAACTGTGGTTATGATCAATAGTAGTAGCAATAATATTTCACGCACCACGAACTATTACAATTACGTCATATCATAATTAATATCGTTTGCTAATAATAATAATACTTCAGCACCAATAAGCATGCGACCAATGTGTGATCGCTAAAATCCGTTGTTTACTTGCGATGTAAATCTTATTATAGCCTATTATTGTCTGAGTTACGTGTATTAGGA